AATCAAATGAAATCAGTATTTAAGAAATAAATTTGTGCTACAGAGCTGGCACAAAAGAACACACAAGTGTCTTGTAGGTGTATTTTCAGACGTTTAATGAGGCTCAGAGGTCGCATGAGTGCAATTAAAAGTGATTCGTTCGAACGGCTGAATCATTCAGGAACGAAGTACGTGACTGTCTTTATGAATGGGTAATTGAATCATTGACTCACTAGATTTGTTTAAAAATGCAGTTCATTCATAAACGAATCACCGCTGTGTTTGAATGGAGATGCGAAGCGACTCAGCTGTTACTTCAAAAAAAAAAAACTATTTTCGTTGATGAAATAGAGAAAAATAAGGCAATTGTGTTGTTGTCAGACAATATAAGTCACTTAATATTAACTTCTTGTTTAATGAACTGTTGTATTAAATCAATATCACATTTGCAAACTCCCTTAATAATCATTAAAAGCTGTCACTCATCTTAGTTTATCCCGATCTCACAAAACTCCATTATAATCGACGAAGCTCCCTACACTGCACAATGAATATCTTATTTACACCCCGTCAACACTTTGTTTGTTATAATGAGAGGATATGTCTGTGATACAAGTTCATTCATAAACGAATCACCGCTGTGTTTGAATGGAGATGCGAAGCGACTCAGCTGTTACTTCAAAAAAAAAAAACTATTTTCGTTGATGAAATAGAGAAAAATAAGGCAATTGTGTTGTTGTCAGACAATATAAGTCACTTAATATTAACTTCTTGTTTAATGAACTGTTGTATTAAATCAATATCACATTTGCAAACTCCCTTAATAATCATTAAAAGCTGTCACTCATCTTAGTTTATCCCGATCTCACAAAACTCCATTATAATCGGCGAAGCTCCCTACACTGCACAATGCATCTCTTATTTACACCCCGTCTACACTTTGTTTGTTATAATGAGAGGATATGTCTGTGATGTATTATTCAACGCTGCAGAAACACGTACGTATATTAGAACCTTTGAAGGTCCCTCAGCGCAAACACAAATATGCTGATCGGGTCAGTCGCACAGGTGCTCCTAAATGTTATTTCATAGTCGCACGGAGTAGTTTTCAGTCGCAAATGCAACTGAAATGTTCGCAATGTAGAGCCCTGAGATTTTCACTTCATTTTGATGGGCCTAATGTGACAACAGATGAATAGATGAATGTACCTCAAAGTAAAATGACTGTCTACTGAAAGGTAATGTGTTGCTACTTAGAGACAACTGAATGTGTACTGAAAGTCTGTTGATACACTGGTTAACAGCTACATGCTGACTACTAAAATGCTCTTACTTTGCTATATAAAGGTACTGAGAACTTGTTGAGGATTTGTTGCATGTCTGCTAATATGCTGTTGAACATCTACAACCTAAATTGATAACATATAGATAACACATTACTGACCAAATGTTTAATAGATGCTTACATGTTATAGACATTGTAATGATTGCTACAGAACGTTTAATAGACAATCTACAGATACTACCCTGATGAGAGAAAGTAGATATGCACTTGCAAAGTAACTTATGGCGCTTTTCCACTGCGTGGTACGACTCGGCTCAGTATGGCACGGCACGGTTCGGCTCGGCACGGTTTGCGTTTCCACTGCAGTTCAGTACCGCTTTAGAGTGGGCGGGATTATTCACATGTCGTTATAGTTGCGCCGTCTCTACTACCACGACTCCTAAAAAAAACTTTTTGATTCCGCGTTGCCCCATCAAGCTCTCGCTGGATCCGCTCCTCTGCTATCAACGAGAGGAACGTCTGTACTCGTGAGAATAAGTACAATGCAGTGGAAAAGCGCCATTATAGTCAACAGACTATCTATAGGGGGACCATCAAAATAAAGTGTTACCCAAAAAAACATATACCACCGCACCGTGTTTCTTCAGGACTAATGCACAATGAAACTGTTAAATGCACTGATCTGTGAAACTCTTCCCACATCGATCACATGTGAATGGCTTCTCTCCTGTGGTCTTTTATGTTTTGCAGAGTCAATGAAAGTCTTTCCACACTGATCACACATGAACGGAGAGTGAATGTGCATTTACTGCTGTTTTTTTCTTTTCTTTTTTCAATGGTTTGACCAGACAAATCTCATGTGAAAATCAGACTGCATTTTTGCTCCGGACAGTCGTGCTGGTGTGAACAGGAGTTAACAGATACCAATCAACCAACATCCTGTCGCTCATCATGACTGTTAGGAAACAAATTGGTTTAACCGCTAAGTGGTTTCTCCACTGCATGGATCTTCATGTGTAGCTTTAGGTGACTTTTATAAGCAAAACTGTTTCCGCACTGATCGCACGTGTGCGGCTTCTCTCTGCTGTGGATCCTCTCATGTGTTTTCAGATTTCCTAACACATTGAATCTCTTGTCACAGTGTGAACACTTGTAAGGTTTTTCTCCAGTGTGAATCCTCTCATGCAGTTTTAACTGATTCGCTGAAATGAAAGTCTTTTCACACTGAAAGCACATATAAGCTTTTACACCAGTATGAATTTTCTGATGTTTTTTTAAACTTTGCCGCAGAGAAAAACTCTTTCCACATTCAGAACATGAATGCTGCTTCTCCTTTGTATGAACGGTCAGGTGTTTCTTCAGGTTTGATGCCCAGACAAATGTTTTTTCCACATTGCTCACAGGTGAACGGCTTCTCTCCGGTGTGGATTCTCATGTGATGTTTAAGATTTTTTAAAATTGAGAATCTCTTTTCACACTGTTCACACATGAACGGCTTCTCTCCAGTGTGGATCCTCATGTGAAGCTTAAGACTTGATTTGATTCTGAATCTCTTCCCACATTGATCACATGCATATGGCTTCTCTCCAGTGTGGATTCTCATGTGAAATTGAAGTCTAGTTTTAATTGAGAATCTCTTTTCACACAGATCACACACAAATGGCTTCTCTCCGGTGTGGATCCTCATGTGAATCTTAAGGTACTCTGAATCCGTAAAACTCTTCCCACATTGATCACACACATAAGGCTTTTCTCCAGTGTGGATCCTCATGTGTTTCTTAAGGTCTGTTTTTTCTTTGAAACTATTCCCGCACTGATCACACGTGAACGGCTTCTCTCCAGTGTGGATTTTCATGTGTCTTTTATGTTTTGAAGAGTCCACAAAACTCTTTCCACACTGATCACACATGAACGGCTTCACTCCAGTGTGAACTGTCATGTGATGCTCAAGATTTTGTTTGTGTGAGAATGTCTTTTCACAGTGATCACACATGAACGGCTTCTCTCCAGTGTGGATCCTCATGTGACTCTTAAGGTGTGATGAATTCGTGAAGCTCTTCCCACATTTATCGCATGGGTATGGTTTCTCTCCAGTGTGGATCCTCATGTGCTGCCTAAGATGTATTTTTTGTGTGAAACTCTTCCCGCAATTTTCGCAGGTGAATGGCTTCTCTCCAGTGTGGATTCTCATGTGAATCTCAAGACTTGTTTCGCGTGAGAATCTCTTCCTGCACTGATCACATGCATACGGCTTCTCTCCAGTGTGGATTCTCATGTGGTTTTTAAGTTGTACTTTTTCTGTGAAACACTTCCCACACTGATCACATGTGTGCAGCTTCTCTCCGGTGTGAATTCTCATGTGTTTTTTAAGGTTTGATGATTGTGTGAAGCTCTTCCCGCACTGATCACAAGTGAACGGTTTCTCTCCAGTATGAACTCTCATGTGAACATCAAGACTTTTTTTGCGTGTCAAACCCTTTCCACACTGAGTGCAGGTGAAAGATTTCTTGGCTCTTTTCTTTAAATCTTTCTGTTTGGTTTGAGAGCAACTCAAATGTTGTTCTCCAGTTTTGACATGATTATTCTTATCAATTTCACTCAATTCTTCATTCTCTTCGTTTACTTTTGACATGATGTTTCTCCTCATATTCACTCAGTTCTTGATTATCCTTGTTTTCTTCAATCAGTTCTGAAATAAAAATAAAAATGGATAATTTTCAGTAACTCTCAGTAACCCTGATGAACCCTGATGTAACAGTTTAAAGTAGACAACTGTTATACAAAATGTTGGTAATTTTGATGTAATTTTATAAATTGTAAGTCCCTGAAACTTTCCATGAATGAGGTACATTGATCTTCAAATTATTATTTTTAATACATAATCACAAATCCCATTTTTCTATAGGGAGAACTATATATATGTATGATTAACTACACAATTATCCAACATAAATATTACTGAAAAAAGTACCCTATTACCTCAAATCTAAATCTGCTTGAAGCTTTATAACCTCCTGCATTATTAATGAAGAATCAAGATTAAACACCAACCTGTTAGTTCTTCAGTATCTTCAGTGTGTTTGATTCTGCAGGATTCTGGATCTCTCATCTTCTCTCTGTCCTCTTTAATAAACTCAGTCTTTGCAGATTTCAGCTCTTCCTGATGATTTGATGCTCATCTTCTCTTGTAAACTGATGGAGATATTTCAGCATTTATCGGGGGACTGCTGTGGGCGGAGCTCCACTGATGATGTGCTGCAGTGGGAGGAGCTTCACTGATGATGTGTTTGTTGTGGGAGGAGCTTCATTGATGAATTGCAATGTGGGAGGAGCTGATCTGCAAAAATAAAAAATATATCACTGAGTTACTGAATTCATTTTAATACTAATGCATAACAGAATAAAAATAATGTAGTACTAATTCTTCTAGATAGGCTATAAATAATGGTAAGACAAACCAGTAAGACAAAAAGTTAAAAGCATAAAAATAGAAATAAATCTACAGATTTGTAACCAACAAATGCCCTCTCATGGTTTATTGTTGAGCTGTTGAATTGTTCTGTTAAAATAATCAGTTCCAAGCCTTTGACACTTTTTTAGCTTTAAGTGTCCATTTACAGGAGATCTGAAGACATCAGCATAATAAATGAGGAGAAAACAGGAGCTATTAACATGAAATAAAGAGTATTTTCAGCAGCTCTGTTAATATTGATGAGCCTCAGACGATCAACACTCATTCAACAAGACATTCAGGATCATCAGCAGATCATCTCACTTTATTCTCAGTGTTTGCTGATAGAAATAGGGGTGTAAGAAAATATTAATATTTTGTTTGGTGATACTGTATCGACTCTCAAAAACGGAATATTGATATAAAAAATAAAAAAAATTATACAAGATTCATGGCAGTTGTTTAATTTAAGCCTGCAGCTTTCTCTCGTGGTGGGTGTTTTGTGCAGTTCTCGGCGATTCCACGCGGAACAAATACAAACTGAAAAACCTGTGAAATCCAGGTTGAAAGGTTCTGAGAATGTTCAACATCATACATTATTATATTTATATATTGTATTCTAATGTCACAAATAATAATCTCAAGGTTTACAGATTTTACATGATTCTTTGATTCTTTTCTAGTGTGGCTTTGGTGAAGTGTACTAAAAACAAACATCTTCACGTGTGTCCTCTAAACTGACCCACAACCTGATCAGTTAAAACTGACCCATGCGATACTTGAGTGTTGTACTGGCAAATTGCAAATTGTACTGGCATCCATTATAAAACACTCTTGCTTTTAAGCCAAATACACGCTGAAAATAATAATTGACTGACATCTGGAGTCATCCGCCATCTCTAATGAAATCTGCTGGTTTTCTGTGCATCTGCACTGTTTTGAACTTACTGTTTGAATGCTTTCACTTACTTGGACTTTCCAGGAGTTTACCGGTTTAGAATTAAGTGATTGCAAAAACATCAAAGTAGAGGTCAATGTACAGTACTGTCAATGCTCACTTCACTCAGATTACTCAAGGTAGACTCAATAGTCTTATTTATTGTCTGTGGTTATGTTTGTTTTCTAACACCAGTCAGGAGCTGTGCTCTTAATTTCACTGTGTGCAGAAAAATACAATGACAATAATGGCTTTTAATTCAATTCAATAATTAAATCCAGAAACTTTATTGAGAAATTTAAAACAGATAGTCCAAAAAGCTCAATCTGATGTGTCTTGAGGACTTTATGGCTGCTGTGTGCATGTGTCTGTTAAGTCCACATGACTGTAGTAATACATTATTATAAGTTTACACCACTGATCTATAACAGAGAACTGGATTGCTCATGATATTATAGAAGTGAAGCCACAGCCCCGTCATATTGCTATTCCCTAGTGCTCCCATATATTCTGTTGAATTAACAGTAAATCATACAATTTTTATAAGAAAACCGTAAAAGAGTCATCTTTTTATATCTGAAGTATTCCTGTACTTTCTTAAAACACAAACGTGCTTCATGTAAAAGGTTTTATTAAGATTTTAATGTTGGGAATTTCCCCTGCCTATTACAAAAATAAAATTAAGTATCATATTCATTACAGTAACAAACATCAGATAAACATGATGAACATCAGATTGCACTGTATTTTATGTATGTTCATTTTTATTCTTAACAGTTTTCATTCATTTTAAATCAATTTTTGAATCATTTTATAATTTTTAAATTCCTTGTTTTTATCATTGTGATTATTTTTTATGATTATTTTAATTCCTTATATATGTAAAGAAAGTTGAATTACCATTGTGTATGAAATGATCTATATAAATAAACTTTGCCTTACATTAATAATTAATTCAACATAAATGCATAACACTTCACTCATATGGAAACTGTAATGCTAGAAGAAGATAGATGAAATAGATGTTGCTCAATCAGAACATAAATAAATACACACATCGTAACATCACTCAAAGAAATAACGCTGACAATATACAGTACAGACTTAAAGACATTTACATTTCAATAAAAGTGTTCCTGTGGCTCAGTGGTAGAGCATTGCGTTAGCAGCGCAAAAGCTCGTGGGTTCAATTCCAAGGGAACACACATACTGGTAAAAAAAAAATGTATAGCCTGAATGCACTGTAAGTCGCTTTAGATAAAAGTGTCTGCTAAATGCATAAATATAATACAATACATAGTAACAGAGGCTTGTATTGTAAAATTAGTTGTATATTCTAATAAATTTCTGATACGAATACCAGCTATATGTTCATGTTTAATATTTCCTGCATAAAGTT